CTGCATAGTGGGTGGCTACTTTCACAGTGTGAAGCCTTCAATCAGAGAAATGCTGAAGCCATTGGAAAGCGGGAGAAGTTCAAGCAGACTCCCAACCTGTATGTGTTGGACGCCTTTGTGGTGACTCCCATGACCAGGCCAGGGCCCTGTGAAGCGCATGAGCAGGATAGCCAATGCACCATAGCCAAGTTCGCTCTCAACCAGCGCCAGAAGGCGGAGGAGCTGGGAGACAACCCTCGGCAGGTCCCTTCAATGCGGCTCTGGCAAGCCACCTGTGGTGCGGTGATGGTTATGGATGAGCAAGTCAAGCCCTTTTCCAGTGAATGTGAGCTGGAAGAGTTGAAGACTTTGGTTGAAAGTGAGGTCCAGCCAGACCGCCATGTCGGCATCACTGCTGTGTTGCCCTCTACCAAGGGTGTTGATGTCCCCAAGTCTGCTGGCGAATTTACGCAAGTTCCAGGGAAAACACGTGGCAAGCTCGTCCCTCGCATGTCGCATGTCTTTTCCATTGGAGTCAGCTGCCCTAAGCTGAAGAAGCAAGTTCGCACTGTAGAGTCTGCACCTAGTGTTGCTCCGACAGTTGTTTTGAGGTTTTCTACAGAAGCCAAGTACCATGAGGATCCGCGCTGGCGTGGCATTGTTGACAACGCCGGTGGGGCTGCCCACAAATGGATCCATGCCAATGTCCCGGCTGCGACGCAGAGACAAATCCGAGACATCTGGAGTTGGCAATTGCAGTCCTCCAAAGGGGGGGGCAAGGCTTTGATCACTTCCCTCATGAGAGTCGAGCTTTCTGCTGCCAAAACTCTTTTGAGTCTGTCCGGACAAGGAGCCTGGTTCATTGAACCCTTGCGTTGGGATCAGCCTGACATCCCCACCTGCCAAGTGCGGTGGGAGAAGCGTCTGCCGGATGAATCTGGACATGTTTATGCCGCAAGAGTGTTAAGCATGGCTGGCAACCTTGGCTTGGCCAGAGGCCTGAAGAATCTCGGAGTCAGAGTCCCGCCAGCCAGCGACAAGAAGGTCGCTACGACCAAGGTCAAAACCTGGAAGGTCACTGGTGTTCCGAGAGATTGGAGTCACGAAAGCCTCGTCCCTGAACTTGAGGCTGCTGGTTTGAGCAATTTGCAACTCACTTCCAGGAAGCCACATGGTCGAACGACGTGCCTTTTCTTCACTGCCGAGTGCGCGCAAGGGACTGACTTTGTTGAGCTGGTTTTTGGCAACATCACAATCACTGCTGCTGCTTTCAGCCCAATGAAGAGAATGCATAGTGAGACCCAGCAGCTCAAGACTGTTTCGTCGCTGTCCTTCTCGCCTGCCTTTGGTCAGACCCGTGGATCTGCTGAGGTTCAGCCAGCTCAGCGATCTTCGTTTTATGCTGCTTCCCCTGTTAAGATGAAGCCCAAAGCTGCTGTAGGGCATTCGCAGGACACCGCTTCCGCTGAAGCCACTGAGAAGCAACCGCCTGTGGCAGTTGAAGCTTCTCAGCCAAGTGAGGTAAAGGATGTGGAAATGACGTCGCCAGCCAAAGCAGCCACCAAGCGAATGGGTGGCTCGCCTGAGAAGGCTGCCAAGCCGCCTAAGAAAAGGGCGGTTGTGAGAGATGTGCCAAAGGGCCTGGCCCGGGTGCCCAACTCAGCGCAAGGTAATTGCCTATTTGAGTCCATTGCGCAAGGTCTGAACCCTGACAATCCAAAGCATGCGCGTGCTATTCGTGCTGCTGTGATTGCTCATTTGAAGCGCCATGCCGACCGATACCAACCTTGGTGGGACAATTTGAGGCCGGATGAAGAAATCTGTGATTCCTGGGAAGAGTACCTTCGCTTAGTCAGCAAGGCTGGAGCGTATGCAGGCTGTCTCGAGATTGCTGCTGGTGCAGCGCACTTCGACCGAACAATCTTTGTTTTCTGTCCTTTTCTCGCCGAACCTGAGGCTTACAATCAGTCTAGCAAGAAGGGATACATTTGTCTTTGATTCCAGGACCGGCATTACGAGTACCTCAAAGGAGATCTGAATCCTGAGCTGCGAGCCAACGGCCCCATGCAAGGAGGTCGTGGAGGAGGCAAGTCTATGAGCTCGGGGCAGTCAGTGTCTGGCGCCACCCGGATTTCTGCGTTGCCACCGGAGAGGGCACCCCAGTCGCGTGGCTCCGCAAGCCAGGCGCCAACACGTGTGTCAGCTTTGCCTTCGTTGCCGCATGATAGACATGCTCAGAAGCGATCTAGTGCCGCTGCGGGTCTTACCAGCAATAGAGCGCCTGAAAGTGCCTTTGGCGAGTCTCTTCCGAGTGACATTTTTAGCTTGAGTGGTGACCCTGCATCGTGTAGTGATGATGAGTCTAAGCCTGCTGAAGCTGTTGCGAGCGCTAAAAGACAAGACTGGACTTGTCCCATCTGTGGTTTTTGGACTGGTTTCAAAAAGCATTGGACGACTGTGAAGAAGGACCACATTCGTAGCTGGCATCCTGAGAAGGCCAGTCAGCTTAGTTTGAACCCTCGTTTGCCGAAGCTGATTCCGTACAGCAAGGACAAGTGCAACTGGAAGTGTCCTCTTTGTGATCTAGGTACTCCTATTGAGGTCAAGAATTTGGATGCGCTCCGCAAGATGCGCTTGGCGCACGCCAAAGAGGTGCACCCCAGAGCCGCCACGAAGAGGTTTTTTGATCAAGCGAGGAAGCGCCAAGAGTGCGCAAAGGGCAACGTCAGCCAAGACTTCAGCTGGCAACGCCAAGAAATTGCTTGACTTGAAGTGTGGTAAGCAAGGGCTTCATGACTGCGAAATTTTGCAGTTGCCTTACACGGGTCAGGGGAAAAAGCGCAGACGGTTTTTGAACAAAATCTTCTGCAAGAAGTGTACTGCTTTGTCGCCCAGTGCTGAGGCCATGTCAAAGCTCCCTTGCGAGAAAGCCAGCAAAGGAGGTCCAAAACGGGCTATGCTCATAGCTCGTTTGAAGAAGTGCCGCTCTCGTTTTGCACCCGGCGGTGCTGATCGCCAGGCTCTTGAAAGTGTCATTCAAAAGCTGCAGCCCTCTGACTCTGTCCCAGAGGCTGCGCCTGTTGACCATGACATTGTTCCTTTGCAGATTCCGGGCCAGCCGCCCAAGAGATTCATGTTCTGCAAAACATGCTGTCGCGTCGCTGCTTTGCAAAGCACCATCCTGAAAGCCGCCTGTAAAGGTAGGGTCACTTGGAGTCCTGCACGCATGAAACTGGTGCGATTCCTTGAAGCCCAAATGAAACAAGCCAAAGGAAGCAAGTTGCAATCGCTGAGTGAGCTTCTCAATATGCTCACAGGGGAAGTGGCGTCTGGCTCCAAGCCATGACGCAACCTAGCCAGAGAGAATCCGAGGGCAGTTCGCCCTCTGGGCAAGGTGCTCTGGTGGTTGGCACCTTGAATGTTCGCACCCTCAAAGGGAAGATGGCTCAAGTGTTAACTTTAGCTAGTGAGAACTCGTTAGATATCTTGTGCTTGCAAGAGGTCCGTTTGTCCGAAGATAACATGCTGTCAGCCCACCATGCTGCCAAGCAGCAAGGCTGGACCTTCTTGCCCGGCCCTTGCGCGCAAGACTCGCAGGGGGCACCAACTGCCGGCGTTGCTGTTTTGAGCCGGTGGCCCGTCGAGAAGGAAGCTTTGCCTTCCCAAATTGATCCAGAACTGCAGTGCCACAGTGGCCGTTGGTAAGTACTGCAAGTGCATAGGCCTGCCAGAAGACCTTTTGTTTTGGTCAACTTGTACTTGCATGCTTCGGATCGCTCAAGTGCCTGCCGACTAGGGCATCTGCTTTTTGAGCTAACTGCACAGATGGGTGAAGATTGTTTATTCATAGGTGATTGGAACAATGTGCCTGATGAGGAACCTGCGCTTTCTCCACTGAGGGGAGGGCGGCTCCATTTGGCAGATGAAATTGCGGGGCCATTGCAGCTCCAGGCGCCCACTCGCACTGGAGGTAGGCACATTGATTACGCTTTGCATTCCATGTTGTTAGTTCCTTCAGACAGGGGTCAAGTCCCTGGAGTTGCTGACCATGACCTTGTGTCTTATTCATTTCCTCTGCTTGCAGAGGAAGCTTCCTTTAGGATTCAGCCTGCCAGAGCCTTGTTAGCCACTGAGCCTGTGTCAAACGAATTGTGGGGTCGCAATTTTGATTTGCAACATTTTCACACTTTGCTGGAACAAAGCCAAATCGAAGAAGCTTGGATCTTTCTGAGCAATGCAGCTGAGATTTGCTTACAAGCTAAGCCAGGGCGTAAGCGCAGTTCCGTGCCAGCTCCAAGTCAGGTGCCTCGGGCTCCTGTCAAGCCCGACACTTTGCAGACCACCCTTGAGCGTAGACTGCGAAGAACTTATAGGCGGGTTCTAGAGTTGCAGAAACCTTCTTGGCCTTGGCGTTTACTGAACAAAGTGCGCGAAGAGCTGCGCAGGTTTGCTAGAATTTTCCCTGAGCTCACCGAGTTCGATGTTTTGTCTCCTCGCCTTCCGGATATCCTTCTGCAATGCATTCAGCGTGAGAGTGATGCTTCGTCAGAAAGAAGGTTAGCTAGGTGGCAAACCGACATGAATGAGAATGAGCAAGCCCTTATTCGTTGGGTCAAGGGCGCGGATAAGCTCATTGCCCCGTCAGGCCTTGACTCTGTTCCAGTGCATCCGCAGCTCAAAGCTGAGCATTTTGGTCGTGAATGGCAGGCCATTTGGTGCCCGCATAGCAATGTTGAGCCTGAACGGGTTCTGCCTTTTCTTTCTTGGATACGTGCTGACGAGTATTTTTGTCCGGAGCCTGTTTTCACTGATACTAGCTTTGTGAGACTCACCAAACAAGCTTCTGGAAAAGCGGCCGGACCAGACGGTTGGAAAGCGGACCAGTGGCTTTTGTTGCCCGAAGGGTTTTATTCTGCATTCTCCGCCTTGTGGCGTAGAATTTTGGACATTGGGATTCTGCCTTCTCAATGGGCGCAAGTGCGTTGTGTCCTTATCCCTAAGGATGTCGGTTTCAGACCTATTAGCATCGCTTGCCTTGCTTGGCGCCTTGGCATTAGTTGCATTTTGCACCAGTTGTCCCCTTGGATTGACCAATGGGCGCCGCCGGAGTTAGTCGGTGGTTTGAAGGCGAGAAGTTCCACCATCGTACATGATGACCTTCATGAAGCTTTGCAGGAGAGCACTCTTTTTGGGGCAAAGATCGACGTTGCCAAATGCTTTGATCATGTGAATATCGAGCAAGCTTTCATTGTTTGGGAGAAATTTGGCGCTCCTGCCAAAGTTGTGAACATTTTGAAATGCTTTTATCGCATGCAAGTCAAAAGTTTCGAATGGCAAGGTTTTTGCAGCCGTGAACGCATTCGATGCACCCGTGGCATTTTGCAAGGATGTCCAAGTAGCTGTGCTTTGCTCGCCGGATTGATGACTGTCTGGTGTCGGTATGTGCAGCAACAATCGCCCAGTGTCCAACTTTCAGTTTATATTGATGACAGGACTTTGTGGTGTAAAGAGCGGCAGCCACTGCAGCTTGCTCTTGATGCTTCGCAGAGCGTTGACCAGGTTTTGGGCCTCAGGTTGAACAGTTCTAAATGTGAACTCTTCTACAAGTGCCGAAATGCCCAATTGCAAGCTTTTCAGTCATGGAACGTTGCTTGTAACAGGAAGTGGAAGATGGCTACCCACTTCAAGTTGTTGGGGGTTCATTACTTTTCTAGTAAGGCTCGCCGTAGACCAATTGAGCCTGCCGTTGTTGCAAAAGTGCAAGCGCGTCTCAGGCGCCTTCGAATGGCCACTCACAGGCACTGGAGCAAGAGGCGGCTTGTGAGGTCACTTGTCCTGTCCTTGTTTTCGCACACAGGTGCTTGGACCACCATTCCCAAGAAACTCTTGCAAAAATGGAGATATGCTGTTGAGACAACCATGTTGGGTTATCCTCAATCTGGGAGATCCAGATATTTGATGTGGGCTTGCTTCCTGACGCCCGAGCTTGACCCAGAATTCGCCTTGGATTCCAGAGTTGTGTTTCACGAGTTGTGAAGACTTCGACGTGAAGCTGCTGCATGCCAAAGTGTGACTGACATTTCCAGGTTGCAGTTCACTGAGGTTGAGCCGTGTGAACGCAGCAGCCGCTTATTTGAAGTCCTGCAAAAGTGGGGTTGTGAGCGCTTGAGCAAAAGTCGTTTCCGTACTCCTTCAGGTGTGCTTGATTTGCTTTCGCATGGTGAGACTAGTGTCACAGCCGCTATGAAAGCCGCCTGGAAACGGCAGTTGTGGCTTAGCGAGCCGCGTGCGGCGGAAGTTGCCGACTTAAACGTGGAACCTGTCATTGCTGTGCATGTGGCTTGCATGAAGCAGGGTCAAAAGCAAGATCCCTTGTCGTTTTCCATTGCTTGTGCTGCAGGGCCAGCCAGTCGCAAGCTGGCCAAGAGATTTGACTTGAATCACGTGTCTTGTGTGTGTGTGGTGCAGATTGGCCTTCATGCCGGCATGTCACTTGGCATTGCCCTGATACCAACTTGCCTGAACACACTTCTGCGCCTGCTAACGGTGTCGAAGAGAGGTTGTTGGTGCGTAGCATAGCTCCGCCGCCGCAGCCGCCTGATCTCTTGCCGGATGACGTGCGCCCTCCTGTTGAAATTTGCTCCGCTTTCATTTCGCAGATGGCGCTCTTTGATGGAATGATTTTGGTCGCTACTGATGGTAGCTGCAAAACTCGCCACTCGCAGAAGCGGGCGGCTTGGGGTATCGCGACTGAAAGTCAGGTTTTTGCTTTTCCGATGAAAGGTTGCGACCAGAATATTTTTGCTGCTGAATCATGGGCCGTGTTTCAAGCTTTGCATGCAGCACATCTCACTGGAGTGAGAGTGCGTGTTCTATGTGACTCACAAGCCGTTGTCTTCGCTGCCGCGAGGGTGCGGCGTGGTGGATCTTTGCCACGTTGGGCATCTGGCATGTGGCGCGCCATTGCTTTGCTCAGTCCTGAAAGTGTAGTTTCATGGGTGCCGGCCCACGGCCGCTCCAAAGATTGGACACCGCCAGATGGCCACTCCCCTGCTGTCTGGCGGACTTACAATGACAGAATTGATGCGGCAGTTCAGGCCGTTGCGCAGCCCTGTGCCGATTCTTTGAGTGCTTGGGCTCGTCGAGTCGATGATGCTATGGCTTGGAGTAGTTTTGCTCTTGCAAGACAGAAACAAGCTCTGCTTGATTTGCGTAGGCATGTCGAGTCATCAGCTCTCAGCTGACCTTATGTGCTTGGTGATTCCTTTTATTCAATTTCTGCCTTGTCGGAAACGGGAAGATGTCATCAATGGACTGCACGCCGTGCAGCAGGGTTGGTGGCGAAGCTGTTTGCTTCGAACACTTTTGCGCTTTGGCGCCCCGAAAGTTGCCTCCAGCTACCCACTTCGGTGGGCCCAGGCTGTGGCAACATATAAATGCCACACACACACACAGCCAAGCCCTTTTCGAGAATTTGGTGTCTTTTCGAGCTGTCTCGGTTGAAGGATGTGGGGCAACCTTTGGAACTTATCTGCAGGGAAGGACCCCTTTCCAAGCCGGACATGGTTCACAACCCAGTTCTTGCCAGGATGGTGGAAACCACTTTCTCGGCTTTGTCCGATGTCTCCATTCTCAATGCCGAAAGCTCGATTGAAGCCGATAAATGGCGGATCTGGGGTGAGGCTGTCAACAAGACTGCCAGGACTTTGATAGCTGGACTAGGTGCTGAACGTTTCTTCCCGGAAACCATTGAGATATACGGGGTC